GCCTGGTGCTGCTGGGCAAGCAGGTCAGCCACATTGATCGCTATTGATCACCTATTGGTCGGGTATTGATCGCCTATTGATCACCTATTGATCGCTATTGATCCACTATAGATCACTATTGATCGTCTAGGGATCTCTATTGATCACCTAGGGAGCGCTATTGATCCGCTATTGGTCCCTATTGATCACCTATAGATCACTATTGATCACCTATTGATCGGGTATTGGTCACCTATTGATTGGGTATTGATCGGGTATTGATCGGGTATTGGTCACCTATTGATCGCCATTGATCGCCTATTGATCAGCTATTGATCACCTATAGATCCCTATGGATTGCTATTGATCACCTATTGATCGGCTATTGATCGCCTATTGATCGCTATTGATCCACTGTAGAGCCCCTATGGATCACTGTTGATCACCTATAGATCCCTATGGATCACCTATTGATCCGCTATTGATCACCTATAGATCACTATTGATCACCTATTGATCACCTAGGGATCACTATTGATCACCTATTGATCGCTATTGATCACCTATTGATTGGCTATTGATCGCCTATTGATCTGCTATTGGTCTGCTATTGATCGCTATTGATCAGCTATTGATTGGCTATTGATCGCCTATTGATCTGCTATTGATCGCTATTGATCAGCTATTGATCTGCTATTGATCACTATTGATCGCCTATTGGTCTGCTATTGATCACTATTGATCCACTATTGATCACCTATTGATCGCTATTGATCACCTATAGATCACTATTGATCACCTATTGATCACCTATTGATCGGGTATTGATCGCCTATTGATCGCCTATTGATCTGCTATTGATCGCTATTGATCACCTAGGGATCACTATGGGTGGCTATTGATCCCTATTGATCCACTATAGAGCCCCTATGGATCACTATTGATCTCTATTGATCGTCTAGGGATCGCTATTGATCGCCTAGGGAGCGCTATTGATCGCTATTAATCACCTATTGATCGCTATTGATCGGCTATTGATCGCTATTGATTGCCTATTGTTCACCTATAGATCCCTAGGGATCGCTATTGATCGTTATTGATCACCTATAGAGCCGCTATGGATCACTATTGATCGCCTAGGGAGCGCTATTGATCACCTATTGGTCCCTATTGATCCACTATAGAGCCCCCATGGATCGCCTATGGATCACTATTGATCGTCTAGGGATAACTATTGATCGCCTAGGGACCGCTATTGATCCCTATTGATCCCTATTGATCACCTAGGGATCACTATTGATCACCTATTGGTCACCTATAGATCACTATTGATCACCTATTGATTGGCTATTGATCACCTATTGATCGCCTATTGGTCCCTATTGATCCACTATAGAGCCCCCATGGATCGCCTATGGATCACTATTGATCGTCTAGGGATCTCTATTGATCGCCTAGGGACCGCTATTGATCCCTATGGAGACCCTATTGATCACTATTGATCGCCTATTGATCACCTATGGATCACCTATGGATCGCTATTGATCCCCTATGGATCACTATAGATCACCTATGGAACACTATTGACCGCCTAGGGATTGCTATTGACTATTGATCGGCTATTGATCGCCTATTGATCACTATTGACCCACTGTAGAGCCCCTGTGGATCACTGTTGATCACCTATAGATCCCTATGGATCACCTATAGATCACTATTGATCACCTATAGATCACTATTGATCACCTATTGATCACCTAGGGATCACTATTGATCACCTATTGATCGCTATTGATCGCCATTGATCGCCTATTGATCCACTGTAGAGCCCCTGTGGATCACTGTTGATCACCTATAGATCCCTATGGATCACCTATAGATCACTATTGATCACCTATTGATCACCTATTGGTCACCTATTGATCACTATTGATCACCTATTGATCACCTATTGATCGGGTATTGATCGCCTATTGATCGCCTATTGATCTGCTATTGATCGCTATTGATCACCTAGGGATCACTATGGGTCACCTATTGGTCACCTATAGATCACTATTGATCACCTATTGATCACTTATTGATCTGCTATTGATCGCTATTGATCGCCTATTGATCCACTATAGATCACTATTGATCACCTATTGATTGGCTATTGATCACCTATTGATCGCCTATTGGTCCCTATTGATCCACTATAGATCACTATTGATCATCTAGGGATCTCTATTGATCACCTAGGGAGCGCTATTGATCACCTATTGATCACTATTGATCCGCTATTGGTCCCTATTGATTGCCTATTGATCGCTATTGATCGCTATTGATCAGCTATTGATCATCTAGGGATCTCTATTGATCACCTAGGGAGCGTTATTGATCCCCTATAGATCACCTATGGGTCACCTATGGATCACTATTGATCACCTATTGATCGCTATTGATCGCTATTGATCGCTATTGATCACCTAGGGATGGCCACATATTGGTCCCTATTGATAAAGTATAGAGCCCCCATGGATCGTATACGGATCACTATGGATCGTCTAGGGATAACTATTGATCGCCTAGGGACCGCTATTGATCCCTATTGATCCCTATTGATCACCTAGGGATCACTATTGATCACCTATTGGTCACCTATAGATCACTATTGATCACCTATTGATTGGCTATTGATCACCTATTGATCGCCTATTGGTCCCTATTGATCCACTATAGAGCCCCCATGGATCGCCTATGGATCACTATTGATCGTCTAGGGATAACTATTGATCGCCTAGGGACCGCTATTGATCCCTATTGATCCCTATTGATCACCTAGGGATCACTATTGATCACCTATTGATCGCTATTGATCAGCTATTGATCATCTAGGGATCTCTATTGATCACCTAGGGAGCGTTATTGATCCCCTATAGATCACCTATGGGTCACCTATTCACTATTGATCACCTATTGATTGGCTATTGATCACCTATTGATCGCCTATTGGTCCCTATTGATCCACTATAGAGCCCCCATGGATCGCCTATGGATCACTATTGATCGTCTAGGGATCTCTATTGATCGCCTAGGGACCGCTATTGATCCCTATGGAGACCCTATTGATCACTATTGATCGCCTATTGATCACCTATGGATCACCTATGGATCGCTATTGATCCCCTATGGATCACTATAGATCACCTATGGAACACTATTGACCGCCTAGGGATCGCTATTGATCGCTATTGATCACCTAGGGATCGCTATTGATCACTATTGATCGCTTAGGGATCACTATTGATCCCCTATTGATCACTATTGATCTCGTATAGATCCCTATGAAACCCTATAGATCACTATTGATCCCCTCGAAATTCCTACTGATCCCCTATAGAACCCTATTGATCCCTATAGAGACAAATGGATCCCTACAGAACCCCATAGATTCCCTATAGGATCTTACCGACCCCTATCGATCCCCTATCGATCCCCTATCGATCCCCTGTCCCCCCCCCAGGCCATCGATGACGATTGCAACCAGACCGGGCAGCTCCTCGCCGCCATGTTGGACTGGCCGCAGGTAGGCCGCGCGCGGGGCACCACGGGATACATCCCCCCTCGGGGGGGATAAATCCCATAATCCCCGCGGCAGTGGGGGGGATATATCCCACAATGCCTTGTAATGGGGGAATGTATCCCGTGGTGCACCGCGGAGGGGGATTGTGGGATATATTCACCCCGAGCGCGGGGGGTTGTGGGATATATTCACTCCGATCGCTGGGGATTGTGGGATATATTCACCCTAAACCCGGGGGGTTGTGGGATATACTCACCTCAAACGCGGGGATTGTGGGATATATTCACCCCAATCGCGGGGGATTGTGGGATATATTCACCCTGAGCGTGGGGGATTGTGGGATATATTCACCCCAAAGGCCGTGAAACTGGGGGAGGCCTAGTCCGTATTTTGAGGGTCCCAATCCATACTGGGAGGGTCTGACTCGTACTGGGAGGGTCCCAGTCCATACTGGGAGGGTCCCAGTCCATACCGGGAGGCTCCCAGCGCCCACTGGTCCGTCCTGGTCCCGCAGGGCACGTTCGCCTCGCGGGTGCAGCTGGAGGACGGGGCCGTGCGCGTGGAGCGCGAGGTGGACGGCGGCCTGGAGACGCTGCGGCTGCGGCTGCCCGCCGTGCTGACGGCCGACCTGCGGCTCAACGAGCCCCGCTACGCCACGCTGCCCAACATCATGGTGCGTGGGGGGACCCCAGATTCCCGGGGGGTTCCCTAAAATCCCTGGAATTCCGCAAAAATTCCCAGAAATCCTGGGGGTTCCCATGGCGGGCAATGGGGGTAGACCTGTTGTCCCCAAATCTGGGGTCACTCAGAATGGGATTTCCCCAAAATTTTGTGTAGTCCCAAAATTCCTGGGATGTTTCCCAAATTTTTGGGCCTTTCCCAAATCCCTAGGATCCCCAAATTCCCGGGGGATTCCCCAAAATCACTGAAATTCCAGAAAAATTCCCGTGGTTCCCATAGCGGCCGATGGGGGTAGACCTGTTGTCCCAAACTGGGGTCAATGGGAATGGGATTTCTCCAAAATTTTGGGTATTCCCAAAATTCCTGAGACTCCCCCAAATTCCTGGTATCCCCCCAAGTCCCCAGGATCCCAACATTCTTGGAGGATTCCCAAAAATCCCCGGAATTCCACAAAAATTCCCAGAAATTCTGGTGGTTCCCATAGCGGGCAATGGGGGTAGACCTGTTGTCTGGGATGTCAGGTTGAAAGGAATGGGATTTCCCCAAAAATTCTGGGTACTCCCAAAAATCCTGGGATGCTTCCCAAATTTTTGGGTCTTTCCCAAATCCCCAGGATCCCAAAATTCTTGGAGGATTCATAAAAATTCCCAAAATTCCCCAAAATCCTGGTGCTCCCTATAGGGGCTGATGGGGTAGACCTGTTGTCCGGAATGCCTGGAGTCCTTTTCTCTAAAAATCCCCCAAAATTCTCAAAAAATCCCCAAAAAGTCCACAAAATTTCCACAAAATTTAAAAAAAACACTCAAAAAATCCCAAAATTAAAAAATTGCCCGAAAATTGCCCCCACATTCCCCTGGCCACATATTGGTCCCTATTGATAAAGTATAGAGCCCCCATGGATCGTATACGGATCACTATGGATCGTCTAGGGATAACTATTGATCGCCTAGGGACCGCTATTGATCCCTATTGATCCCTATTGATCACCTAGGGATCACTATTGATCACCTATTGGTCACCTATAGATCACTATTGATCACCTATTGATTGGCTATTGATCACCTATTGATCGCCTATTGGTCCCTATTGATCCACTATAGAGCCCCCATGGATCGCCTATGGATCACTATTGATCGTCTAGGGATCTCTATTGATCGCCTAGGGACCGCTATTGATCCCTATGGAGACCCTATTGATCACTATTGATCGCCTATTGATCACCTATGGATCACCTATGGATCGCTATTGATCCCCTATGGATCACTATAGATCACCTATGGAACACTATTGACCGCCTAGGGATTGCTATTGATCGCTATTGATCACCTATTGATCACCTATTGATCCGCTATTGATCTCCTATAGATCACCTATGGAACCCCATTGATCACGTCTGGAACCCTATAGATCCCTACTGATCCCCTATAGAACCCTATTGATCCCTATAGAGACAAATGGATCCCTACAGAACCCTGTAGATCCCCTCGAACCCCTATCGATCCCCTATCGATCCCCTGTCCCCCCCCCAGGCCATCGATGACGATTGCAACCAGACCGGGCAGCTCCTCGCCGCCATGTTGGACTGGCCGCAGGTAGGCCGCGCGCGGGGCACCATGGGATACATCCCCCCTCGGGGGGGATAAATCCCATAATCCCCGCGGCATTGGGGGGATATATCCCACAATGCCTTGTAATGGGGGAATGTATCCCGTGGTGCACCGCGGCGGGGGATTGTGGGATATATTCACCCCGAGCGCGGGGGGTTGTGGGATATATTCACCCCGAGCGCGGGGGGTTGTGGGATATATTCACCTTAAACGCGGGGGGTTGTGGGATATATTCACCCCGATCGCTGGGGATTGTGGGATATATTCACCCCGAGCGCGGGGGGTTGTGGGATATATTCACCCCGAGCGCGGGGGGTTGTGGGATATATTCACCTTAAACGCGGGGGGTTGTGGGATATATTCACTCCGATCGCTGGGGATTGTGGGATATATTCACCCTTAAATCGCGGGGGATTGTGGGATATATTCCCCCCAAAGGCCGTGAAACTGGGGGAGGCCTAGTCCGTATTTTGAGGGTCCCAATCCATACTGGGAGGGTCTGACTCGTACTGGGAGGCTCCCAGTCCATACTGGGAGGGTCCCAGTCCATACTGGGAGGATCCCAGCGCTCACTGGTCCGTCCTGGTCCCGCAGGGCACGTTCGCCTCGCGGGTGCAGCTGGAGGACGGGGCCGTGCGCGTGGAGCGCGAGGTGGACGGCGGCCTGGAGACGCTGCGGCTGCGGCTGCCCGCCGTGCTGACGGCCGACCTGCGGCTCAACGAGCCCCGCTACGCCACGCTGCCCAACATCATGGTGCGTGGGGGGACCCCAGATTCCCGGGGGGTTCCCTAAAATCCCTGGAATTCCGCAAAAATTCCCAGAAATCCTGGGGGTTCCCATGGCGGGCAATGGGGGTAGACCTGTTGTCCCCAAATCTGGGGTCACTCAGAATGGGATTTCCCCAAAATTTTGTGTAGTCCCAAAATTCCTGGGATGTTTCCCAAATTTTTGGGCCTTTCCCAAATCCCTAGGATCCCCAAATTCCCGGGGGATTCCCCAAAATCACTGAAATTCCAGAAAAATTCCCGTGGTTCCCATAGCGGCCGATGGGGGTAGACCTGTTGTCCCAAACTGGGGTCAATGGGAATGGGATTTCTCCAAAATTTTGGGTATTCCCAAAATTCCTGAGACTCCCCCAAATTCCTGGTATCCCCCCAAGTCCCCAGGATCCCAACATTCTTGGAGGATTCCCAAAAATCCCCGGAATTCCACAAAAATTCCCAGAAATTCTGGGGGTTCCCATAGCGGGCAATGGGGGTAGACCTGTTGTCCCAAACTGGGGTCACTAAGAATGGGATTTCCCCAAAATTTTGGGTGTTCCCAAAATTCCTGGGACTCCCCCAAATTTTTGGGTGTTCTCCAAATCCAGGGTATTCCCTAAATCCCCCAAACTCCCGGGAAATTCCTAAAAATCCCCAAAATTCCACAAAAATTCCAGTGGTTCCCATAGCGGGCAATGGGGGTAGACCCAAATGCCCACAAAAAATTCCTAAAAAAATCCCTGATAATTCCCAAAAAAGTCTTGTAAAAATTCTTAACAAAATCCTAAAAAATGCTCAAAAAATCCCCAAAATATGAAAAAAAAATCGTGATAGAATTCTGGAAAAAAAACCCCCCAAAATCCCAAAAAAATTCATGAAAGTTCCTCAAAAAACCTGAAAGAAATCCCCAAAAAATAAAGAAAAATCCTCCAAAAATCCCCAAAAAATCTCAAAAAATTCTAAAAAAATTTTTAAAAATTCCAAAAAAGTCCATAAAAATCCCTTAAAAATTCACAAATATTCCTGAAAAAAATCTCCCAAAAAAATCAAGAAAAATCCCTAAAAAATCTCAAAAAATTCTAAAAAAATTAAAAAAATTTCAAAAAAAATCCCCAAAAATTCCCAAAAAAATCCTTAAAAAAATCCCAATTTTTCCCTTAAAAAATCCTAAATTTTCCTTTAAAAACTCAATTTTTTTCCCCCCCCAGAAAGCCAAGAAGAAGCCCCTGGAGGTGATCCCCGCGGCCGAGCTGGGCGTGCCCGCGGGCGCCCCCCGGCTGAAGGTTCTGGAAGTGCGGGAGATCCCCCAAAAATCCCTAAAAAATCTCTTTAAAACTCCCCCCAAAAGTTCCCAAAAAATCCTAATAAAATTACAAAAAAATCCCTAAAAATACCAAGAAAGTTCCCCAAAAGTTCCTGAAAAAAATCTCAAAAAAATTCTAAAAAAATCCCCAAAATCCCTCAAAAATTCCCAAAAAAGCCTTTAAAAATCGCCAAAAATTGCCTGAAAAAAACCCAAAAATTAAGAAAAATCCTCCAAAAATGCCTCAAAAATTTCCCCAAAAATCCCCAAATAATCCTTAAAAATTCCCAAAAATTTCCGAAAAAATCTGAAAAAATCCCCCAAAAAATCAAGAAAAATCCCCTGAAAAATCCCCCAAGAAATCTAAAAAAATTCCAAAAAAACCCAAAAATTCCACCCAAAAAAATCCTTAAAAATTCCCAAAATTTCCCTAAAAAATCAAGAAAAAGCCTCCAAAAATCCCCAGAAAATCCTGAAAAAAATATCAAAATATCCGAAAAAAATCCCAAAAAAATCCTCAAAAATTCCCCAAAAATTCCCAAAAAAAAAACCCTTAAAAATCCCAATTTTTCTCTTTAAAAAACCCCAAAAAATCCAATTTTTTCCCCCCCAGAAAGCCAAGAAGAAGCCCCTGGAGGTGATCCCCGCGGCCGAGCTGGGCGTGCCCGCGGGCGCCCCCCGGCTGAAGGTTCTGGAAGTGCGGGAGATCCCCCAAAAATCCCTAAAAAATCTCTTTAAAACTCCCTCCAAAAGTTCCCAAAAAATCCCAATAAAATTACAAAAAAATCCCTAAAAATACCAAGAAAGTTCCCCAAAAGTTCCTGAAAAAAATCTCAAAAAAATTCTAAAAAAATCCCCAAAATCCCTCAAAAATTCCCAAAAAAGCCTTTAAAAATCGCCAAAAATTGCCTGAAAAAAACCCAAAAATTAAGAAAAATCCTCCAAAAATGCCTCAAAAATTTCCCCAAAAATCCCCAAATAATCCTTAAAAATTCCCAAAAATTTCCGAAAAAATCTGAAAAAATCCCCCAAAAAATCAAGAAAAATCCCCTGAAAAATCCCCCAAGAAATCTAAAAAAATTCCAAAAAAACCCAAAAATTCCACCCAAAAAAATCCTTAAAAATTCCCAAAATTTCCCTAAAAAATCAAGAAAAAGCCTCCAAAAATCCCCAGAAAATCCTGAAAAAAATATCAAAATATCCGAAAAAAATCCCAAAAAAATCCTCAAAAATTCCCCAAAAATTCCCAAAAAAAAAACCCTTAAAAATCCCAATTTTTCTCTTTAAAAAACCCCAAAAAATCCAATTTTTTCCCCCCCAGAAAGCCAAGAAGAAGCCCCTGGAGGTGATCCCCGCGGCCGAGCTGGGCGTGCCCGCGGGCGCCCCCCGGCTGAAGGTTCTGGAAGTGCGGGAGCCGCCCCCCAGGGCCGGGGGGGAGAAGGTGGAGAGCGTGGAGAGCCTGCTGGGGAAACTGAGGCACGCCGGCCGCATCTGAGCCTCCCAGTTCATCCCAGTGCCTCCCAGTTCGTCCCAGTACCATCCCAGTTCATCCCAGTGCCATCCCAGTTTGTCCCAGTTCATCCCAGTGCCGCAGGGAGGGGAGAGCGTGGAGAGCCTGCTGGGGAAACTGAGGCACGCCGGCTGCATCTGAGCCTCCCAGTTCATCCCAGTGCCTCCCAGTTCAGCCCAGTACCATCCCAGTGCCATCCCAGTTTGTCCCAGTTCGTCCCAGTGCTACAGGGAGGAGAGAGCCTGCTGGGGAAACTGAGGCACGCCGGCTGCATCTGAGCCTCCCAGTTCATCCCAGTTTGTCCCAGTGCTCTCCCAGTTCACCGGCCGCATCTGAGCCTCCCTCCCAGTCTGGCCCAGTCCCTCCCAGTTCCCTCCCAGTCCCTCCCAGTCTGGCCCAGTTCCCCCCAGTGCCTTCCCCCCACCCCAATAAAGGCGTGGCCAGTCCATGACGTCATCGCTTTCTGTGGGGGCGTGGCTTAAAGGGGCAGGGGAGGGGCCATCTCTTAGCCCGGTTTTACTGGTTTTGGGTGGTTTTTGCTGCGGGGGAGTCCCAGTATAAACCAGTTTGTCCCAGTTCAGCCCCAGCTTGTCCCAGTTCAGCCCCAGTTTGTCCCAGTTTATCCCAGTTCAGGCCCTGGCGGGTCCCAGTTTGTCCGAGTATAACCCAGCGGCTCCCAGTCCGGTCCCAAGGAGGTTCCGGTCTGTCCCAGTATGATCCAGCGGCTCCCAGTCCGCTCCCAGTTCCTCCCAGTTCGCTCCCAGTCCGTCCCAGTTTGTCCCAGTTCGTCCCGGCCTCCAACACGGCGGCTGTCCCAGTATGATCCAGCGGCTCCCAGTCCGCTCCCAGTTCCTCCCAGTTCGCTCCCAGTCCGTCCCAGTTTGTCCCGGCCTCCAACACGGCGCCTCCGCGTTGCCCAGCAACGCCCCGCCCCCTGCGCTGTCAATCAACCGCGTCGCCCAATCAGAGCGCGATTTCGCTCTCCGTCCGCATGGGCGGGGTTTCACCTGACAGACAGCGCCCTGAACCAATAGGAAGACTCGGTAGGCGGGCTCTGCGGCAGCGCCGACCAATCAGCGCGGCGGAAGCCCTGCAGGAGCGGAGCGGGCGGCCCCGTGCGGCCCCTCAGAGCCGGGGCGGCGGCGGCGGCGAAGATGGCGGCGGCGGACGGCGACGATTCGCTTTACCCCATCGCGGTGCTCATCGACGAGCTCCGCAACGAGGACGTGCAGGTACCGCTGCCGGGGCCTCGCCGCGATACCCCCGGGGCTTTTTCCGGGGCTTCGGGGCCCCTTCCGTGGCCACCGGGGCCCGGCCGCCATCGCCCGCTGGTGCTCTGCTGATGGCCGCCATGAGACGGCCGCGCTGATTGGCTGAGGCGGCCCGGTCCCCTCAGGCGCGGGCGAATGGGTGGCGGCCTTACATGTGTGGGGCGGTTGGGGGTTGCGGTGAAAGGCGCGCTGTGATTGGCTGGAGGGGCGGTTCGGGTTTGTAAGGCGCGTTCTGATTGGTCGGCAGCGCCGTGAGGGGAGAAATCCGCCCCGCCCGCCGCAGCGCCCCCTAGCGGCGGGGCAGCGCGGCGCCCTCCTCGCCGCAGCCAATGGCAGCGCGAGGCCGCGGCAGCGCCGCTGTCCATTGGCTGTCGCTCGCATGGGCGGGGCTTAGCTGAGCCAATCGGAGGCTTCGTCTCTGCCGCGGCGGCGCTGCAGGGCCGTGAGACGCCGCTCCTGATTGGCCGCGGCGCGTTGTGGGCGGGGTTTCCTCGTGAGGGGGGCGATTCCCGCCTTTTTTTCCCCCAAATTTTCCCAAATTTCCCTGATTTTCCCCCATTTTTTCACCGCAGCTACGCCTCAACAGCATCAAGAAGCTCTCAACCATTGCGCTGGCGCTGGGCGTGGAGCGAACCCGCAGCGAGCTCCTCCCTTTCCTCACCGGTACCAAAATTTCCCGGGAAGGCCCCAAAACCTGAGGGGAAAAATCCCAAAATTTGAGGGGAGGGATCCTCAAAATCCAAAGGGGGGTGGGACAACCTTGGGAAGTCCCAAAATTCGCAAGAAAACGCCAAAAATCGCCCGGATTTGGGAAGGGGGTGGGGTTTTTTGTGAGGTGGGCGGGGCTTTGGGGTGATTGACAGCTGTCGGGGCCAGGTGAGTGACAGGTGTGTTACCTGTGCAGACACCATCTACGATGAGGACGAGGTGCTGCTGGCCCTGGCGGAGCAGCTGGGCACCTTCACCGCCCTCGTGGGGGGACCCGAGTTCGTGCACTGCCTGCTGGTAAATGCACCTGAGGGGGGCAAAAATGTACCTGGGGGGCAAAAAATGCACCTGAGGGGGGGAAAAATGTACCTGGTGGGCAAAAAATGCACCTGGGGGGCGGAAAAGTCACCTGAGGGGGGGGGGAAACTCACCTGAGGGGGGAAAAATGTACCTGGGAGGGATAAAAATGCATCTGGGAGGGGTAAAAAGTCACCTGGTAGGGGAAAAGTCACCTGAGAGGGCCAAAAAATGCACCTGGGGGGACAAAAATACACCCAGGGGGGAGGAAGACTTACCTGAGGCGGGGATAAAAATGGACCTAGGGGGGTAAAAATGCACCTGAGGGGGAGTAAAAATGAACCTGGGGAGGAAAATGCACCTGGGAGGAGTAAAAATGCATCTGACAGGGAGAAAAAGTCACCTGAGGGGGATAAAAATACACCTGGGGTGGAAAATGCACCTGAGGGGTGAAAAATGCACCTGAAGGGGGGAAAATACACCAAGGGGGGAGGAAAATACACCTGAGGGGGTGTAAAAAATGCAGCTGTGGGGTAAAAAACGCATCTGGGAGGGGAAAAAAATCACCTGGGGGGGAGAAAAAGTCACCTGGGGGGGCAAAAACACAGCTGGTGAAAATCTAGAATGCAAAAAATTCAACTGGGGATATAGAAACACACCTGTGGGGCTAAAAATACACCTGGAGAGCCCCAAAATATATCTGGGGAACACAAAAATACACCTGGGGGAACAAAAATGCATCTGGGGAACCTCCAAGTACACCTGGGAGCCCCAAAATACACTTGGAAAACATCAAAACACACGGGGGGAACGCCTGGGGACACAAAAATGCACCTGGGGACACAAAAATACACCTGGGGAGCCCCAAAATACACACGGAGAACATCAAAACACACCTGGGAGCCCCGAACCCCCATCTTGTGTCCACCCCATGTCTGTCTGTCCATCACCATGTCCATTTGTCCACCCTGTGTCCATCTGACCACCCCATGTCCATCTGACCACCCTGTGTCCATCTGTCCATCCCACGTCCGTCTGCCCACCCAATGTCCACCTGTCCACCCCATGTCTAGCTGTCCATGCCATGTTTCTTTGTCCCTCTCACGTCCATCTGACCACCTTGTGTCCATCTGACCACCTTGTGTCCATCTGGCCACCCTGTGTCCATTTCTCAATCCTGTGTCCATATGATGCCTCCATGTCCATCTGTCCATCCTATGTTCTGCTGACCACCCAATGTCCATCTGACCACTCTGTGTCCATCTGACCACCCTGTGTCCTTCTGATGGCCCCACGTCCATCTGTCCATTCTATGTTCCTCTGTCCATCTCACATCTGTCTGACCACTTAATGTCCACCTGACCACCCAATGTCCATCTGACCACCCAATGTCCATCTGTCCATCCCACATCCGTCTGACCACCCTGTGTCCATCTGTCCACCCCGTGTCCACCTGTCCACCCCATGTCTCTCTGTCCATCCCACATCCCTCTGTCCATCCCGTGTCCATCTGACCACCCAATGTCCATCTGACCACCCCGTGTCCCTCTGACCACCCCGTGTCCACCTGTCCACCCCACGTCTCTCTGTCCATCCCACATCCCTCTGTCCATCCCGTGTCCATCTGACCACCCTGTGTCCATCTGATGGCCCCACGTCCATCTGTCCATTCTATGTTCCTCTGACCATCCCGTGTCCGTCTGACCACCCTGTGTCCACCTGATCACCCAATGTCCATCTGACCACCCCGTGTCCATCTGACTACCCTGTGTCCATCTGTCCATCCCATGTTCCTCTGACCATCCCACGTCCGCCTGACCACCCCGTGTCCATCTGACCACCCCGTGTCCATCTGACCACCCTGTGTCCATCTGACCACCCCGTGTCCGTCTGACCACCCTGTGTATTCCTAAAAAAGGAAGCAGTATTTGAGACAGTGATGGCTAACAAGGGTTTGGTCCATCTGACCACCCCGTGTCCTTCTGACCACCCCGTGTCCATCTGTCCATCCCATGTTCCTCTGACCATCTCATGTCCATCTGGCCACCCTGTGTCCATCTGGTGGCCTCAAGTCCACCTGTCCTCGCTATGTTCTTTTGTCCACTCTGTGTCCATCCCACGTCCATCTGACCACCCAATGTCCACTTGTCCACCCCGTGTCCATCTGTCCATGCCATGTTACTGTGTCCGTCTCATGTCCATCTGACCACCCAATGTCCATCTGATCACACCATGTCCATCTGTCCATCCTGTGTTCCTCTGACCATCCCGTGTCCATCTGTCCACTCTGTGTCTATCTGACCATCCTTTGTCCACCTGATGGCTCCATGTTCACCTGTCCACCCCATGTCCATCTGACGACCCTGTGTCCATCTGTCCATCCTATGTTCCTCTGACCACCCAATGTCCATCTGTCCATCCCACCTCCATCTGGCCACCTAATGTCCACCTGTCCACCCCACGTCTATCTGTCCATGCCATGTTCCTCTGACCATGTCACATCCATCTGACCACGCTGTGTCCATCTGATCACACCATGTCCATCTGTCCATCCTGTGTTCCTCTGACCATCCCACGTCCATCTGACCACCCCGTGTCCTTCTGACCACCCCGTGTCCATCTGTCCATCCCATGTTCCTCTGACCATCTCATGTCCATCTGACCACCCTGTGTCCATCTGGTGGCCTCAAGTCCACCTGTCCTCGCTATGCTCCTCTGTCCACTCTGTGTCCATCCCACGTCCACCTGACCACCCAATGTCCACCCGTCCACTCACCGTCCACCCGTCCGTGTGTCCGCAGCCGCCGCTGGAGAGCCTGGCCACGGTGGAGGAGACGGTGGTGAGGGACAAGGCGGTGGAGTCGCTGCGGGCCGTGTCCCACGAGCACTCCCCGCCGGACCTCGAGGGTCACTTCGTGCCGCTGGTCAAGCGGCTGGCCGGAGGAGATTGGTTCACGTCGCGCACCTCGGCCTGCGGCCTCTTCAGCGTCTGCTACCCGCGAGTGTCCAGCCCGGTCAAGGCCGAGCTGCGCCAGTGAGTGACCGCTGTCCTGGGCTGGGCTGGGGTCAGGGAGGTGACCACGGGGTCATCGGTTCGTCCCTGGGGTCAGTGAGGTGACCACGGGGTCATTGGGGTAGGTGTGGGGTCATTGAGGTGACCATGGGGACATTGAGGTGACCATGGGGACATTGAGGTGACCACAGGGTCATTGGGGTGGGTGTGGGGTCAGTGAGGTGACCATGGGGTCATTGAGGTGGGTGTGGGGTCATTGAGGTGACCATGGGGTCATTGAGGTGGGGGTGGGGTTATTGAGGTGACCATGGGGACATTGAGGTGACCATGGGGACATTGAGGTGACCACAGGGTCATCGGTTCGTCCCTGGGGTCAGTGAGGTGGGTGTGGGGTCATTGAGGTGACCACAGGGTCATTAGTCCATTCTTGGGGTCAGGGAGGTGACCACGGGGTCATCAGATCATCTTGGGGTCGTTGAGGTGACCATGGGGTCATTGAGGTGGGGGTGGGGTCATTGAGGTGACCACAGGGTCATTGAGGTGACCATGGGGTCATTAGTCCATCCTTGAGGTCAGTGAGGTGACCACGAGGTCATCAATTCATCCTTAGGGTCATTGAAGTGACCACAGGGTTATTGAGGTGACCATGGGGTTATTGAGGTGACCATGGGGACATTGAGGTGACCACGGGGTCATTGGGATGGGTGTGGGGTCAGTGAGGTGACCACAGGGACATTGAGGTGACCACAGGGTCATCAGTTCATCCTTGAGGCCAGTGAGGTGACCACAGGGTCATTGGGATGGTTGTGAGGTCATTGAAGTGACCACGGGGTCACCAATCTGTCCTTGGGGTCACGGAGGTGACCACAGGGTCATCAGTTTGTCCTTGGGGTCAGTGAGGTAGGTGTGGGGTCAGTGAGGTGACCACGGGGTCATTGAGGTGACCATGGGGTTATTGAGGTGACCATGGGGACATTGAGCTGACCGCAGGGTTACCAGTTCATCCTTGGGGTCAGTGAGGTGACCACAGGGTCACCAATCCATCCTTGGGGTCAGTGAGGTGACCACGGGGTCGTTGAGGTGACCACAGGTTCATTGGGATGGGTGTGGGGTCACTGAGGTGACCACGGGGTCATTGGGGTGACCATGGGGTCAGTGAGGTGACCACAGGGTCATTGGGATGGGTGTGGGGTCACTGAGGTGACCACGGGGTCATTGAGGTGACCATGGGGTCAGTGAGGTGACCACAGGGTCATTGGGATGGGTGTGGGGTCACTGAGGTGACCACGGGGACATTGAGGTGACCACGGGGTCACTGAGGTGACCACAGGGTTAGCAATCCATCCTTGGGGTCATTAAGGTGACCACGGGGTCATTGGGGTGACCATGGGGTCACTGAGGTGACCACAGGGTCACCAACCGGTGTGGGGTCACTGAGGTGACCACGGGGACATTGAGGTGACCACGGGGTCACTGAGGTGACCACAGGGTTAGCAATCCATCCTTGGGGTCACTAAGGTGACCACGGGGTCTTTGGGATGGGTGTGGGGTCACTGAGGTGACCACAGGGTCACCAACCCATCCCAGGTGTCGGGATGTGCCCCCCAGCTGTACTCAGGTGACCCCAGGTGTGCCCAGGTGCCCCCCAGGTGTGCCCAGGTGTGCCCAGGTGACCCAGGTGTGCCCGCAGGTACTTCCGGAACCTGTGCTCGAACGACACGCCCATGGTGCCCATAGGTGACCTCTAGGTGTAGTCAGGTGACCCTAGGCTGTACCCAGCTGTACCCAGGTGCCCCCCAGGTGTGCCCAGGTGTGCCCAGGTGACCCAGGTGTGCCCGCAGGTACTTCCGGAACCTGTGCTCGAACGACACGCCCATGGTGCCCATAGGTGACCCCTAGATGACCCCTAGGTGTGCCCAGGTGTACTCAGGTGCCCCCCAGGTGTGCCCATAGGTGCCCCCAGCTACTTCAGGAGGCACAATGCACCCACAGGTGACCCTTAGATGTACCTGGGCCATACTTGGCTGTACTTGGGTAACCCTGGGCTGTACCCAGGTGCCCCCCAGGTGTACCCAGGTGCCCCCCAGGTGGGGCTGGGCACACCTGGGCGGCGCCTGGTGCACCTGGGCACACCTGGGGGGTGTCTGAGGGGGGCTGGGCACACCTGGGGGGCACCTGGTGCACCTGGGCACACCTGGGTGGCACCTGAGGGGGGCTGGGCACACCTTGGTGGGGGCTGGACACATGTGGGGCAGGGCTGGGGGTTACCTGAGCTCACCTGATCTCAGCTGTGCTCACCTGGGCAGGACTCGGTGCAGCTGCTGGCTGTGAAAACATGAGTTGTTCTGGGGGATTACCTGGGGGTCACTTAGGGGGGTTACCTGGGGGTTACCTGAGCTCACCTGAGCTCACCTGTGCACACCTGGGCAGGACTCGGTGCGGCTGCTGGTGGTGGAAACATGAATTGTTCTGGGGGTTTACCTGGGGCATTACCTGGGGGTCACTTTGGGGTTACCTGAGGCTCACCTGGTCTCACCTGGTGTCACCTGTGCACACCTGGGCAGGACTCGGTGCGGCTGCTGGTGACAGAAACATGAATTGTTTTGGGGGATTACCTGGGGCATTACCTGGGGGTCACTTTGGGGTTACCTGAGGCTCACCTGAGCTCACCTGTGTCTCACCTGGTCTCACCTGGGCAGGACTCGGTGCGGCTGCTGGCGGTGGAGGCGTGAATTGATCTGGGGGATTACCTGGGGCATTACCTGGGGGTCACTTGAGGGTTACCTGGGGGTTACCTGTGCCTCATTTGGGGGTTACCTCTGCACACCTGGTCTCACCTGGTCTCACCTGTGCACACCTGGGCAGCACTCGGTGCGGCTGCTGGCGGTGGAAACATGAATTGTTCTGGGGGATTACCGCACACCTGGGGGGTGTCTGAGGGGGGCTGGGCACACCTGGGGGGCGTCTGAGGGGGGCTGGGCACACCTGGGGGGCGTCTGAGGGGGGCTGGGCACACCTGGGGGGCGTCTGAGGGGGGCTGGGCACACCTGGGGGCACCTGGTGCACCTGGGGGTCACCTGAGCACACCTGGTCTCACCTGGTCTCACCTGTGCACACCTGGGCAGCACTCGGTGCGGCTGCTGGCGGTGGAAACATGAATTGTTCTGGGGGATTACCTGGGGGTTACCTGTCCTTCATTTGGGGGTTACCTGTGCTTCATTTGGGGGTTACCTGATCTCACCTGAGCTCACCTGAGCACACCTGGTCTCACCTGGGCAGGACTCGGTGCGGCTGCTGGCGGTGGAGGCGTGCGTGAGCATCGCGCAGCTGCTGCCGCAGGAGGAGCTCGAGGGGCTGGTGATGCCCACGCTGCGCCAGGCGGCCGAGGACAAGTCCTGGCGCGTGCGCTACATGGTGGCCGACAAGTTCACCGAGGTGGGCACACCTGGGGGCACCTGGGGACACCTGGGGGCACCTGGGGGCACCTGGGGGGCACCTGGGGGCATCTGGGGACACCTGGGGACACCTGGGGGCACACCTGGGGGCACACCTGGGGGCACCTGGATACACCTGGGGGCACCTGATGGCACCTGGGGGCACCTGGGGACACAGCTGGGGACACTTGGGGACACACTGGGGACACACCTGGGGACACCTGGCACACCTGGGGGCACCTGGGGGCACCTGGGCGCACCTGGCACACCTGGGGGCACCTGGGCACACCTGGGGGCACACATGGGGGCACCTGATGGCACCTGGGGGCATCTGGCACACCTGGGAGCACCTGGGGGCATCTGGGGACACACCTGGGGGCACCTGGGGGCACCTGGCACACCTGGGAGCACCTGGGGGCATCTGGGGACACACCTGGGGGCACCTGGGCGCACCTGGCACACCTGGGGGCACCTGGGCACACCTGGGGGATGGGTTTTGGGGAGGTTTGGGATGGGTTTTGGGGGTTTTGGGGCATTTTGGGAATTCTGGGGGACCTTCGGGGCCACACCTGGGGCCACACCTGGGGGCACACCTGGGGCTACACCTGGCCACACCTGGGGGCACCTGGACCCACTTGGACCCACCTGGGGGCACACCTGGGCACACCTGGATCCACTTGGGCACACCTGGGCACACCTGGACCCACCTGGGGACACCTGGGCATACCTGGGGCACATCTGGGGACACACCTGGGGGCACCTGGGCACACCTGGGCATATGTGGGGCACACCTGGGCACACCTTGGGGCACACCTGGACACACCTCAGCACACCTGGGCACACCTGGACCCACCTGGGTACACCTGGGGGCACCTGGGCACACCTGGGCATACCTGGGGCACACCTGGGGACACACCTGGGCACACCTGGGGGCACACCTGGGACTCACCTGGGGGCACATCTGGGCCCACCTGAACCCACCTGGGCACACCTGGACCCACCTGGGGGCACACCTGGGTGCACCTGGGCTCACCCGAACCCACCTGGGCACACCTGGGGGCACCTGGGCCCACCCGAACCCACCTGGGCACACCTGGGGGCACCTGGGCCCACCCGAACCCACCTGGGGGCACACCTGGACGCACCTGGGCCGTGTCCCCGCAGCTGCAGCGCGCCGTGGGCCCCGAGATCACCAAGACCGACCTGGTGGGCGCCTTCCAGAGCCTCATGAAGGACTGCGAGGCCGAGGTGCGCGCGGCCGCCTCGCACAAGGTCAAAGGTCAGCGGCCACCCGCCCCCACCCCCCACCTGTCCCCGGGGTCACCCACCTGGCCTTGGGGTCACCAACCCAACTTTGGTGATCTTCAACCCAAATTTGGTGTCCCCAACCCAATCTTGACCTTCTTCAACTCAAATTTGGTGTTTCTAACCCAAATTTATGTCCTTCAACCTAATTTTGATGTCCCCAACCCAATTTTGGTGTCCCCAACCCAATCTTGACCTTCTTCAACTCAAATTTGGTGTTTCTAACCCAAATTTATGTCCTTCAACCTAATTTTGATGTCCCCAACCCAATTTTGGTGTCCCCAACCCAATCTTGACCTTCTTCAACTCAAATTTGGTGTTTCTAACCCAAATTTATGTCCTTCAACCTAATTTTGATGTCCCCAACCCAATTTTGATGTCCCCAACCCAATTTTGGTGTCCCCAACCCCACTTTGGTGTTCTTCAACCCAATTTTGGTGTTCTTCAACCCAACTTTGATGTCCCCAACCCAACTTTGACGTTCTTGAACCCAGTTTTGGTGTTCTTCAACCCAAAATTGGTGTCCCCAACCCAAATTTGATCTCATTCAACCCAACCTTGGTGTCCCCAACCCAACTTTGGTGTTTTTCAACCCAACTTCGACGTTTTTGATCCCAACTTTGACGTTCTTCAACCCAACTTTGATGTTTTTCAACCCAATTTTGGTGTCCCCAACTCAACCTTGATATCCCCAACCCAACTTTGATGTCCCCAACCCAACTTTGGTGTCCCCAACCCAATTTTGGTGTTTTTCAACCCAACTTTGACGTTCTTCAACCCAACTTTGACGTTCTTCAAACCAATTTTTGTTTTTCAACCCAATTTTGGTGTCCCCAACCCAACTTTGATGTCCCCAACCCAATTTTGGTGTTCTTCAACCCAAAATTGGTGTCCTCAACCCAAATTTGATGTCATTCAACCCAACTTTGGTGTCCCCCACCCAACTTTGATGTCCCCAACCCAATTTTGATGTTCTTCAACCCAAAATTGGTGTCCTCAACCCAAATTTGATGTCATTCAACCCAACTTTGGTGTCCCCCACCCAACTTTGGTGTTTTTCAACCCAACTTTGACATTTTTGAACCCAACTTTGATGTTCTTCAACACAATTTTGGTGTCCCCAACCCAATCTTGGTGTCCCCAATCCAGGTTTGGTGTCCCCAACCCAAATTTGGTGTTCCCAACCCAATTTTCATCTTCTTCCACCCAAATTTGGTGTTCCTAACTCAATTTCGATGTTCTTCAACCCAGTTTTGGTGTCCCCAACCCAATTTTGGTGTCCCCAACCCAATCCTGATGTTCTTCAACCCAACTCTGGGTCCCCAACCGATCTTTGGTGTTTTTCAACCCAACTTTGACATTCTTGAACCCAACTTTGATGTTCTTCAACCCAACTTTGATGTTCTTCAACACAATTTTGGGGTCTCCAACCCCATTTTGGTGTTCCCAACCCAGTTTTGGTGTCCCCAACTCAATTTTGGAGTTTTTCACCCCAATTTTGGTGTCCCCAACCCAAATTTGGGGACATTCAACCCAACCTTGATCTTCTTCCACCCAAATTTGGTGTCCCCCAACCCAATCTTGATGTTCTTCAACCCAAATTTCCAGTTTTTCACCTCAACCTTGGTGTCCCCAACCCAATTTTGGTGTCCCCAACCCAACCTTGGTGTCCCCAACCCAATTTTGGTGCTTTTCACCCCAATTTTGGTGTCCCCAACCCAACCTTGGTGTCCCCAACCCAACCTTGGTGTCCCCAACCCAACCTTGGTGTCCCCAACCCAACCTTGGTGTCCCCAACCCAACCTTGGTGTCCCCAACCCAACCTTGGTGTCCCCAACCCAACCTTGGTGTCCCCAACCCAACCTTGGTGTCCCCAACCCAACCTTGGTGTCCCCAACCCAACCTTGGTGTCCCCAACCCAACCTTGGTGTCCCCAACCCAACTTTGGTGTCCCCAACCCAATTTTGGTGTTTTTCAACCCAACTTTGACGTTCTTCAACCCAACTTTGACGTTCTTCAAACCAATTTTTGTTTTTCAACCCAATTTTGGTGTTCTTCAGCCCAATTTTGGTGTTCTTCAACCCAAAATTGGTGTCCCCAACCCAATTTTGGTGTTTTTCAACCCAACTTTGATGTCCCCAACCTAACTTTGACGTTCTTGAACCCAACTTTGGTGTTCTTCAACCCAGTTTTGGTGTTTTTCAACCCAAAATTGGTGTCTCCAACCCAAATTTGATGTCATTTAACGCAACATATGTTGCTTGTATGAAATTGTCTTGTGAAAAACTTAAATATAGTAGTAGCAATAAAGAGGACAATGATTTTCATATCTGACTTGATCCTGTTTTCGGCACTTTACCAATTTTAATCTCTTTTCCTATATGCTTGTGTTGTAGCTTCTTCTGGTTGTTTTTAGTCCATGTACCCTTAGGAAATATTTCCTAATTAGTGCAGTAGTGAAAAAAAATGACCTAGCAAGTGCTAAACTATACCTTAGGATATTTTCATAGTTGATACAGAACTATCGTCACATATCATGCTTATATTGTTTCAACCCAACCTTGGTGTCCCCAACCCAACTTTGGTGTTTTTCAACCCAACTTCGACGTTTTTCAACTCAAATTTGATGTTCTTCGACCCAATCTGGGCGTTTCCAACCCAACTTTGACGTTCTTCAACACAATTTTGGGGTCTCCAACCCAACCTTGATGTCCCCAACCCAACCTTGATGTCCCCAACCCAATTTTGGTGTTCTTCAACCCAAAATTGGTGTCCCCAACCCAAATTTGATGTCCTTCAACCCAACTTTGGTGTCCCCAACCCAACTTTGGTGTTTTTCAACCCAACTTCGACATTTTTCAACCCAAATTTGATGGTCTTCGACCCAATCTGGGCGTTTCCAACCCAACTTTGATGTTCTTCAACACAATTTTGGGGTCTCCAACCCAACCTTGGTGTCCCCAACCCAACCTTGGTGTCCCCAACCCAACCTTGGTGTCCCCAACCCAACCTTGGTGTCCCCAACCCAACCTTGGTGTCCCCAACCCAACCTTGGTGTCCCCAACCCAACCTTGGTGTCCCCAACCCAACCTTGGTGTCCCCAACCCAACCTTGGTGTCCCCAACCCAACCTTGGTGTCCCCAACCCAACCTTGGTGTCCCCAACCCAACTTTGGTGTTTTTCAACCCAACTTTGACGTTCTTGATCCCAACTTTGACGTTCTTCAACCCAATTTTTGTTTTTCAACCCAATTTTGGTGTCCCCAACCCAAATTTGATGTTCTTCAACCCAAATGTGATGTCCCCAACCCAAATATGATGTAATTCAACCCAACCTTGGTGTCCCCAACCCCACTTTGGTGTTCTTCAGCCCAATTTTGGTGTTCTTCAACCCAAAATTGGTGTCCCCAACCCAATTTTGGTGTTTTTCAACCCAACTTTGATGTCCCCAACCTAACTTTGACGTTCTTGAACCCAACTTTGGTGTTCTTCAACCCAGTTTTGGTGTTTTTCAACCCAAAATTGGTGTCTCCAACCCAAATTTGATGTCATTTAACCCAACTTTGGTGTCCCCAACCCAATTTTCATCTTCTTCCACCCAAATTTGGTGTTCCTAACTCAATTTCGATGTTCTTCAACCTAGTTTTGGTGTCCCCAACCCAATTTTGGTGCTTTTCACCCCAATTTTGGTGTCCCCAACCCAACCTTGGTGTCCCCAACCCAATTTTGGTGTTTTTCAACCCAACTTTGACATTCTTGAACCCAACTTTGATGTTCTTCAACCCAACTTTGATGTTCTTCAACACAATTTTGGGGTCTCCAACCCCATTTTGGTGTTCCCAACCCAGTTTTGGTGTCCCCAACTCAATTTTGGAGTTTTTCACCCCAATTTTGGTGTCCCCAACCCAAATTTGGGGACATTCAACCCAACCTTGATCTTCTTCCACCCAAATTTGGTGTCCCCCAACCCAATCTTGATGTTCTTCAACCCAAATTTCCAGTTTTTCACCTCAACCTTGGTGTCCCCAACCCAATTTTGGTGTCCCCAACCCCACTTTGGTGTTCTTCAGCCCAATTTTGGTGTTCTTCAACCCAAAATTGGTGTCCCCAACCCAAATTTGATCTCATTCAACCCAACCTTGGTGTCCCCAACCCAACTTTGGTGTTTTTCAACCCAACTTCGACGTTTTTGATCCCAACTTTGACGTTCTTCAACCCAACTTTGATGTTTTTCAACCCAATTTTGGTGTCCCCAACTCAACCTTGATATCCCCAACCCAACTTTGATGTCCCCAACCCAACTTTGGTGTCCCCAACCCAATTTTGGTGTTTTTCAACCCAACTTTGACGTTCTTCAAACCAATTTTTGTTTTTCAACCCAATTTTGGTGTCCCCAACCCAACTTTGATGTCCCCAACCCAATTTTGGTGTTCTTCAACCCAAAATTGGTGTCCTCAACCCAAATTTGATGTCATTCAACCCAACTTTGGTGTCCCCCACCCAACTTTGGTGTTTTTCAACCCAACTTTGACATTTTTGAACCCAACTTTGATGTTCTTCAACACAATTTTGGTGTCCCCAACCCAATCTTGGTGTCCCCAATCCAGGTTTGGTGTCCCCAACCCAAATTTGGTGTTCCCAACCCAATTTTCATCTTCTTCCACCCAAATTTGGTGTTCCTAACTCAATTTCGATGTTCTTCAACCTAGTTTTGGTGTCCCCAACCCAATTTTGGTGTCCCCAACCCAATCCTGATGTTCTTCAACCCAACTCTGGGTCCCCAACCCAACTTTGGTGTTTTTCAACCCAACTTTGACATTCTTGAACCCAACTTTGATGTTCTTCAACCCAACTTTGACGTTCTTCAACACAATTTTGGGGTCTCCAACCCCATTTTGGTGTTCCCAACCCAGTTTTGGTGTCCCCAACTCAATTTTGGAGTTTTTCACCCCAATTTTGGTGTCCCCAACCCAACTTTGGTGTTTTTCAACCCAACTTTGATGTTCTTCAACACAATTTTGGGGTCTCCAACCCCATTTTGGTGTTCCCAACCCAGTTTTGGTGTCCCCAACTCAATTTTGGAGTTTCTCACCCCAATTTTGGTGTCCCCAACCC